ACATCAACCATCAAGGTGGTCTACGCTCCCGCCGTATGTCGCAACTCACCCGCCACCTCCTCATATGGAGTCAGAAGCATCTGAGGTCGCTTCGTGCCATTTATATCCCCGGAGCCCTGAACTGTGCAGCCGACGAGCTCTCACGGCTTCAGCCCCTCCCGGGAGATTGGCGACTCCATCCCCAGTCGGTTCAGCTGATTTGGGACCAGTTCGGGGACGCACAGATAGATCTCTTAAAAAATGCCTCTCACGACTCGACCCATTGCGCCCTGTATTATTCCCTGACCGAGGGCACGCTCGGCACGGATGCACTGGCGCACAGCTGGCCGCGGGGCCGCAAATATGCGTTTCCCCCAGTGAGCCTTCTTGCGCAAGTCCTGCGTAAGGACAAGGAACAGGTCATTCTGGTCGCGCCGTACTGGCCCACCCGGACCTGGTTCTCCGAACTTGTCCTCCTCGCGACAGCACCTCCGTGGCCGATTCCCCTGAGGAAGGACCTCCTTTCTCAGGGACGGGGCAACCTATGGCACCCTCGTCCCGATCTTTGGAACCTCCACGTGTGGCTCCTGCACGGGACGAGGCAGGTTTGAGTACCCTACCACCAGCGGTGGTGGCTACCATCACTTCCGCTAGAGCGTCGTCCACGAGACACGTCTATGCATTGAAGTTATGCATTATGCATGCTAATTTTTTGAGACAGGAATTTTGGGTTTTCATGAGCTGTATGCCAAAATCATCAGTATTAAAACAATAAAAGACCTGACCTCAGTTGGTGTGCAATGAATCTAAAATATATGAAAGTTTAATTTATCATTACATTATGGAAAATAATGAACTTTATCACAATATGCTAATTTTTTGAGAAGGACCTGTATATATATATATATATATATATATATATATATATATAAATAAATAAAGTGGTTCAAATGTTGACATATATCTTACCAAGATGCAATTTTATATAGTTTATACTCTTTATTATGTACATAAATGAACCAAGGTGAACATATTTAGACAGGTTGTGAACCCTGTTTTGTTTTTAGGCTGTTGAATATAACTTTAAAAAAATTCCAGTACAAACATTACATTACGCTCGTCAACAGCAGCTGTCACAATCGCTAGGTGACAAGAACAGTCCTCCGTAGGCTAAACCGTCCCATTTAACAGTCCGACTTTCGCGGGTTTCGAAGGCATGGCCTTTGAAGTCTGAGTCCTTCAAAGGATGCAGCTTTTGAATTGACCCGCAAAGACCCGCCCCCCTTTAGTTACTGTTGCTATGTCCGACAAGCCACGCCGCTCTCACGCGTTCTCACACAGTGAAAAATGCATTGCGGCGCAATGAAGACACTGACAGACAGGACAGACCAGGATACTTTTGATATGAAACAAAGTCTCAACTTTCAAATTTGGTAATTTTTTAAAGAAATTTCTCTTAAAGAGCCTCTTAAAGCTGCTCTTGAACCGATCATCTCTTCCTTCTAGTTAATTTATAGCATCAAATAAACATGAAAGAACATAAGAAGGAATGTTTTTTTATCCTCGGAAAGACATCAGTTCCCCGTTTTTCAAGTTCAAATCCTCCAACGTTAATCTACTAACTCTCCTGACTGCTTTGTTGGACAAAAATGGCAGATTCGGCGGGTGGCGGATTATGATTGGTCAGATCGCCTGTCAATCAAACTCCCTGCAAAGGGTCAATTGGCACACAGCCACTGTTTTACGCCTACTGTATAGGGAAGTATGCAATTTCGTATGCAGCCACTGTTTGCTGCTACGGCCTACGTCTACAGACTAGCCATTAAAAATGAAACCTAAAATGGCATATTGCTCAACGCAAAATGCCACTAAAACTTAAACCTACTAGGGTACTTCTCATTTCTTGTTTATGCATCCTCGTTTCCTTCTCTCTCTTCCTTTTCTCGCGTCTTATGCCGAGTTCACACTGAGCGATTTTAAGCCCGATTTTCTCTCGCCGACAGGTTTTGGGAGATCGCAGACAAATGCCCGAAATCATAGGCAAATCGGTGCTTGTTTACGTGAGAGACAATCACACAGTGTGAATGTTCAAAGACGCGATCTGAGAGAATCGCCGACGAGTTGCCGACGCCCGTGAGATATTTGGCATGCTAAATATCTGGACCTGTCGGTGATTCAAAATCCTGCTGAGTTCTGACTGAAAACAACATCGGCGATGACCTACAGCCAATGAGAGAGCAAGATACAGGACAGCGGGAAATTCGGGGATAAGTTATAGACCAGAATATAAGTATTTTAATATTTCAAAAAGAAATTAAGTACAAACATTTGCTTGACCAGCAGCAACAGCAGCACATTGCAAAATTATTTATTTACCCCCAACTCTCTTTGCAGAACACGCAAACCTTGCTCCCCTCGTCTACCCAACCTTTTCCTCCTGCATAATCTGTTTTTTTGTTGCAAATCAGCGCACAGGCAATTTGGATCGCAAGCTTCTTGCGGGCTATCATTTTTAATAACAATTTCAGTCACTCGCGAGAACTCCGGTCTCACACACGCGTGATCTTGCGTTATTTCCTTATCACTTCTCGCTTGTGTTTGGTTGTGAAACGTAGTTTGCGGACCAGACAGAAGCTGTCGGCGATTCTTTCTTTTGTAAAGTCATGCATTGTGAAACCCCCTGTCGGCAATCCATCATGCAGTGTGCACACAGCAGCAACTGAATGCTGCCCTAGATAGTCGTGCAGTGTGAAAAGAACAGTGACCCGACCACTTTGAAAATCGTGCAGTGTGAACTCGGCATTAGCTCCACCCTCTTAGGATGCGAGGAAAGGATACACCCGTGTATCCTCATCTCATGACTTCTCAGGAAGCTTCCTCGTTCCTCATGGTGAAATTAGAGAATTGAGATGTCCTTCAAGATGGCTGAGTTCGATCAGTTTCCTGGTCATGGGCTTGAGGACGTAGGAGCGAGGAAACGAAGAAGCATCAATTTGAGTATTAAGAAGCACCCCTCACCTCAAGCTCCCTTTGCCAAGTTGGCATCTTTTCCCTAGACTAACCCCAGAATTCATTGCACGCCAGTGACGACAGGATTTTTTTTTTAGAGAGAGAAATTGCCAAATTACACTTTTAAACGTAGTATTGGGTTTAAAAATATCTGATTAATAAAAATGTAAAAAACAACAACTTTTAAACACTCAGTCCAACATTCGCATGCAGCCTTTGAATTGGGACACAGCCAATGATTCAATAGGAGTCAACATCGTACAGTCTGTCGTACCCAAGTTTATTAGATCCATGTCGTGCAGTGTGATTTGTAGTGATCTTATAGGATTGCCGAAATCGCACAGTCTGTAGCAGGCACAACTGACGACGACTTCACAACGTACTGTGTTTGCTGGGGTAAGCCTATATACTTCGGGCTTGGTAATAACGTTTATCATCTCATCTATTACTTTTAATTTGGCAAGAAATCAAATACACTGCTGAACAATAACCACTAATTTCTATTAAAAAAAATTCCTATATGTTATGAATTTTTTTTATTAGTTTATGTAGCCTACTACAAAAACTTGTGCATTAAGTCCTCATGGATTTCATAAAATGTAAAAAAATGCTTTAATACATTTAATAAATAAATCTGTAAATTGCAAATGCTGTTCTTTGAACTTTCTTCTTCAAAGAATCCTGAAAAATAAAATGTATTAGGGTTTCCAAAACAATTTTATAAGCAGCACAACTGTTTTCAACACTGATAATAATCAAAAATGTTTCTTGAGCATCAAATCATCATATTAGAATGATTTCTGAGAGATGTGACGCTGAAGACTGGATGCTGAAGAACTGACGCTGAAAATTCAGCTTTGCTCACAGGAATAAATTAGGCTACATTTTAAAATATACTCACAAATTACTGTTTTTATTGTATTTTTGATTAAATAAATGCAACAAAAGAGACTTTCAAAAACATTAAAAAGGCTGTCAATTCAGAAAATCAGCTATGATGAGTTAATTGCAGTTTCAATAAAACTTTGGATACCTGCATGACCGATTTAAACAAATGAGACAGAGGACAAATATGTACAAGAAAAATCATTAACACTTTACAATAAGGTTTCATTAGTTAACATTAGTATACTTTAGTTAACATGAACTAAGAATGAACAATACTTCTACAGCATTTATTAATGTTAATGTTAATTTAAACATTAATGCACTGTGAAGTAACATGAACAAAAAATATATATGTTTTATTAACTAACATTAAGAAAGATTAATAAATACTGTAACAAATGTACTGCTCATTGTTAGTTCATGTTAATACATTATCAAATGTTAACTAATGAGGCCTTATTCTGTAAAGTGTTAAAAAAAACTCTGGTGAAAAAACCTGCATGTTGGTCTGAGCCCTGCTCTTTTACCTTTAGTTTTTATGCCAAAGTTCTCTTCTCAAACGGACATAGGAGTATAGATTGTACAGCTAGGTTTGATGACTGCGTTCACCTTTGTCATGTAGCCTAGTTAAAATCGCGCCTACAGATCAGTCCTGATTTTAGCATTTTGACTGATTTTGGCTCGTTATGGGCGATGGAATAAGCGGCCTTGTCTAATTAGATGGATTTGAGGACGCTGATTGGCTCAATTTTATCTTTGAATACGGCCCTGTTCCAAATGGCACACTTCATAATGCACTTTCGGTCTCGTGGACTTACAATGGCCGTTAAGTCCATGAGACCGTAGGGTGTCATTTGTAATTTTAGGTTTCAGAAGGGCGCCCCCTTGCGGTTGAAATGCGCGCTCGATGCGCACTTTGGCCGAGCCCGCACTGATGCGGATCAACACAGCCAGGCACGCACTCAATGCAGAATTAGGCTACTCTACTGATTCCAAAAAGGCACGTGTGTGTGTTACCCGCCCTCTCCAAACCTCTGAAGGAATTTGATCACAGTCTTTCCTCATTAAACTGGACTGGAAACGTCGCCTTGAATGGTATCGTTGAGCTACGAGAAAAAATCTCATGAATATTGTGGGACGATGAAGCGTACAGGTGAGAGTTTTTTTCTTTTTTACATGGATAATTCATACTAAGTCACAACTACAACCATTTTAATAGTAATCCGATTTTTACTTTAAAGATATTTTTAATAGGCCTACAAATTGTATAATTTAAAAGTCAAACTGCAAAACGTATCTGTCACCACTGGAAAGTTTATTTTATATACTTGGTTGGACTGACTTTTTAAAGGCAAAAGCAAAGAGACACTGACTAGTTGACTGACAAGATCTTTTTTTATTTCTGTAACAAATTAGCTTTCTCTAGAAGTGTTTTTTTTATATATATATATATATATATATATATTTATTTTAAGAACCAAGGACCTACCTTTAGAAATATTCACTGGATCAAAGAGTCTGACAGCTATTCACGGTCTACCATTTATTTTTAATGTTTTTTTTGTTTGTAAATTTAATAGAATATGCTATAAATCTTGCTGAATTCCATTAAAGCTAGGGACTTTCCATGCCCCTCCCCTTACCAAAAACAAGTATATTTAAAGTAAATTTTTATTAAGTATAGCTACTGAAGTAAAGATCAAGTATATTTTTAAGTATACTTACTAATATCAATGTACTATAAGTATACTTGGAAGTGTGCTGTTTCAATACTACTACTTTAGTTTATAAAAGTATACTTTTACGTAGGCTATGAAATTTCACTCGTCTAGTACGATTATGTGGTTTTGTTTCATTAATACTGTATACTGTATAGGATGCCCACATGACAGATTAAAATGTTATCTGATCTAATCAAAACAATATACAAATCAAACAAAAATATTTTCTCAATAAAATACAATTATTAACTTGCAGTGTGTCAACATGCATCAACTGCGCAACTAGGATTTAAACCCGGCTAGTTTCTTCTGCTGTTTAGATCAGCATTAAAGAACTATCTCAACTGTTAAATAACAGATATAAGATTAACATAATATTAGATTTGTCTAGGTTTAAATAAACACACACACACAAAAAAAAAAACAGTGATGAAAAATGTACTTAAGAAATGTACTTTTGCTATGGTTAAATAAATGTTCAATGATATCTTCCAAAGATTTTTTAATTTTGACAACCAGTAAATACACTAAGTTTTAAATACACTGGTTCGCTTCTTCTATGTACTTCCATATTCAAATAGCGACGCGCCACAAGCGCTTCCTGAGATTTGCTTTCGAAGGCATGGCATACCAGTATTCATTGCATGCGTTCGGGCTGGCCCTAGTGTGGACACAGCGCTTTCTCGCCTCAGAACGAGCGGAATGCGCATTTTGAATTATCTGGACGATTGGCTGATTTTAGCTCACTCAAGGGATGTGCTAATCAGTCACGTGGAAACGCTGCTTCGCCATCTGGATACACTGGGACTGTGTGTGAATGTGCAGAAGAGCGTGTTTATTCCGAGTCAGACTATAACATATCTGGGCATGTGTTTCGACTCGGTGGCGATGCGAGCCCACCTCTCTCAAGAGCGCATAGAGATCGACTCTGCGCAGTTTCAGACTGGACAGGTCTGTTTCATTGAGGAAATTTCAGAGGCTTCTGGGGCCGATGGCGGCTTCTTCAGTGTGCCATCTGGGCCTGCTGCATATGCGGCCGCTGCAGTTTTGGCTGAAAACTCGAGTCCCGCCGAGGGCGTGGTCTTCAGGTCACACGCACATTCTGGTCACTCACAGTTGCGTTAGCGCTCTGAGACCATGGCGCAACCCGGATATGTTCAGCCAAGGAGTGCCTTTGGGAATAGTGACACAACGCACCGTAGTCTCGACGGATGCGTTGACCTCAGGCTGGGGAGCAGTGTGCTTGGGCGTGCCTGCCTCAGGTCTGTGGTCGGAGTCACAGAGAGAGTGGCACATAAACCGTTTGGAATTAAAGGCAGTGTCCTTAGCCCTGGAAGCTTTTCGGTCGAGGTTGGTGCAGCAGCATGTACTGTTTCGAACAGACAACATGTCTGTGGTTTCGTACATAAATCGCCAGGGCGGTTGTGGGCGGATCGACACTTTCTCTCCATCAGAGCGGTGCATATCCCCGGTCTCCTAAACTGCGGAGTGGACATGCTTTTGAGGAACAGGATTCCTGAAGGAGAGTGGAGGCTTCATCCCCGGATCGGTGCGAATGATTTGGGATCCATTCGGGAGGGCGGACATGGATCTGTTTGCCACAAGCGAGAACACACACTGTAAGACGTTCTTCTAGCTATCTCACTCCCCGCTGACTGGAGATGCTCTGACATCGCGTTGGCCGAAAGCCAGGCTTTACGCGTTCCCTCCGGTGAAGATTCTGCCTATGGTGTTATGCAAAATCAGTGAGGAGAGAGCGTCAGTGATCCTCGTGGCCCCGAACTGGCCGAACCAGCCCTGGTTTGTGGACCTGAGAGAGATAATGGTGGCTCCCCCATGGAAAATCCCCCTCAGGAAGGACCTGCTGTCTCAGGCGTACGGCACGATATGGCACCCCAGCCCCGAGCTGTGGAACCCTCATGTGTGGCCACTCTAGTTTTGAGGGCTCTCTCTCTACCGCCGTTCGAGCCCCTAGCTTCGATAGCGTTTAAGGAGCTCTCCCTGGCTTTACTCCTTGCTCTCGCCTCTGCGAAGCGCATTGGAGACTTACACGCGTTCTCGGTGAACGATGATTGTATCTGTTTCGGACCCGGCGACTGCAGCGTGCCGGGCTACGGGCTACGTGCCGAAGTCACTCTCTACACCGTTCAAAGCACAGGTTGTTTCCCTGCCCGCTTTATCACGCTGGGCCGTCACCGCTACCGCCGTTGACACTGTGTTTGAGCCTCATGCTTGAGTGCTTATTGTGTTGTGTCTGCCCTGGATCAGGGCAGCCTTGGCTTTCATTGCGTTTGAATATGCAAATTTGGATAGGGTCGGAGCTGATGTCTCATTGGTCTAGTTCCGCCTATCAGATGCGAGCATTCCTAGCGGCACGGCTATTGGCTGGCTGTCTGTCTCATACTTGAGTGGTATAGTTTGACCCCGTTTCTCAAGGCTTATCTTCACTACTCTCACGGCAGGATTTAATACAGTTCCCACAGTGTTGCTACGCAATGTAGAGTTACTTCTCTCGAAAGGGAACGTCTCCGGTTACTATCGGAAATACTTCGTTACTTTACTTAAGTACATTTTTCACGTATCTGTACTCTACTTAAGTAGAATCAATAGTGCATACTTTTTACTTTTACTTCGTTACATTTTGCAGCAATTATTATACTTTCTACTCCACTACATTTCTACAACGTTCTGTTACATTTTCGTTAAATTTTCTGATCAGTTTTTCCCCTGCCAAAACATCACCCTGACCGTCCGTTCATCGCACGTTTGTCTCACCAGTGAAGTTTGGTTGCCATAGATATATCAACCCGGTCACACTAAATGCGTCTCTATAACACGCAGGGCCCTATTTTAACGATCTGAAACGCAAGTGTCAAAGCGCAAAGCGCAAGTAACTTTGTGGGCGGATCCCGGCGCTGTTGCTATTTTCCCGGCGGGATAAATGCCTCTTGCGCCTGGCGCAAATCTAAAAGGGGTTGGTATGAAGTAGCTTCATTATTCATAGGTGTGGTTTGGGCGTAACGTGAAATAAACCAATCAGAGCGTCATCTCACATTCCCTTTAAGAGCAGGCACGCTTGTTCTAAAGCGGATTCCTATTATAACGGCGGATTTGCCAGGCGCGCGCCAGGAGCGGTTCACAGCCGAGGAGAGCAACGTTCTCGTCAGGGCCGTAAAACACAGAGAAGTGACATTGGGGATGGAGAAACCCACCCAAATCAACTTCTGTTAAACAGGCGTATGATAATTTGGGTAAATGTGTAAGCTACATGCTTTTATAATAAATTATCTATCTATCTATCTATCTATCTATCTATCTATCTATCTATCTATCTATCTATCTATCTATCTATCTATCTATCTATCTATCTATCTATCTATCTATCTATCTATCTATCTATCTATCGTAATAATGTATGATTTGCAAAAATGAAAACTGCTGCTTAGATGAGAGAATCAAAGTGTATGCGTGTTGTGCACACGCTACATTGATTATGGCCAAGCATGCGCCCTTAAAATAGCATAATGAACAACGCGCAACGCGCCACTGACTTTAGACTATTTTTTTCTGGTCAGTGGCGCATTTGTTGCATAGAACAGCAAAATAGCATGAGGGAAAGTTTGCGCCGGAACACGCCTCCTTTTTGCGCTGAACCGCCCCAGGGAGCGCAAGTGTATTTCTTAGTTAACCGACGTGTGTCTGTGGAGGGAAAAGCCCGCTTTGCGCGGGTGCAAAATAGGAATGATACATGCGTCAGTGTACAAAGTCATTTGCGCCGAGTGCAAGATAGGGCCCGCAGTGTGTTTAGCGTGCAATTTATACGCGAAAATTAGTTTTTACATGCATAGGAAACGCATTGGTAGGTATAGTAGTGATGTGGGGTGCGTGTGTATTATACGTTTGGTTAGGATTAGTATGGCAAGCCAAGAGGTTCAGAATTACGCCATAAAAGAATCGCGTTTACAGCAAACGCCGTCATATACGGCGTTTTAACATAATATGTGTGTTTATATATATATATATATACCGTATATAGTAAGGGTATATAGTAAGCTTGATGTGTATATTGCCTAATTGCAAGCTTGTTCAGAAATGGTGACAAAAACTTAAAATATAACTGCTTTTCCATCATATTGAACATCATTATATGAGTATTGGGTTGAATGAGTTAGAATTAACTGTTTTATTAATCATTAGAATATAGACATTAAGAGAATAAATTGTTATGCAAGTACTTTTACTTTTAATACTTAAAGTACATTTAAAAGCAGGTACTTTTTACTTTTTACTTAAGTAGGGTTGTCATTGTGGTACTTCTACTTTTACTAAAGTAAATATGTCTCTGGTTATTTGTACTTTTACTTAAGTACTGAGATTCAGTACTTCCTCCACCACTGGTCGTGATTCTGATGCAATTGTCGCGTCCAAGCTGGCCATAGTTCATAAGATTTCAACAAAAGTGGAGAAGGAAGGAGTTCCTGCAGCGTTGCTACACAATGTCTCGTTCCCGCCTCTCAGGGAACCGAGGTTACGATAGTAACTGGAGACGTTTTGGGTGCTGACAGACCCCAAGCCTAATGGATGGTTAAAAAAAATACATCAACAATGATTGACACTTAATGAATTTAACAACTTAAAGAATATTTATATATAATATTACTAATAAAAGTTCTAAAAATGTTACATTGCGCTTCAGGCATTAAAAAAATAGACGGATTTTATATTGTTGCCTGCTGTACCAGATTTGTAGTTTGTTTTTGCTGTTCTTGTCATGATTAACAAAAACAAAAATGAATAAAAACCATCTTTCCAAGAAAGTACATTCTTTCTTTGCCGTAAATCGTGTTAAATCTTCTACTAGATTTTAATTCAGAGAAAAATATTTTATTAATATTATTAATATTATTTTGATAGTAGGATATTTAAAAAGTACAATTAAACAAACATGCACGAGCAAGGACCACGCCACAACCCTGAATGTTTGAAATTATTTATTGAAGTTGGGGATGAATAGAGAAAGGATGAAGTGGAAGGAGAAAATGGGTGGTAGTCAGTTTGATCTGTTATTGAAGAGAGTTGGGGATGAATAGGGAAAGGATGAAATGGAAGGGGAAAAGTGATGATATTCAGGTTGGTCTGGGCGTCTGGTGTTGGCGGCTAGGAGACTTAGAGTGGGGGCATCATCTCAGTTAAATGTAGGCCGAGTGATTAGGACCCCCCTATACAACCTGGAAGGGAAGAGAAGAGGGCATGATATGGATGGTTGAATGGATGAGAGAGGGATGGGAAGGGAGGGTTTGAGAGAACGAGACAAACAGCACTGTAAGGGGCGGCCCAATATAAGAAGGTTTTGAGGTGACTGGTTGAGGCGTGGCCCCGCTCCCGAACCTCAGTTAACTAGTCAACTCCATGAAAAAGTGTCTCAGGGACAAAATGTGCATTAATGGTCAACTGTATTTCAACTAGAGTGTTCTTTCCTTGTTTTTCTGTCTCCATGTGCTTTTTTTTTCTCAGTGGGTGATCATAAACCACCGGTAGCTCCAAAACCAAAGGTTCTCCCAAAACCAGTGCAAACAGACCATCCATCCGCTTCCAAGTTGTGTGTTTACCAACATAACTCACCAGCTGTTAAAAGTAAAGTTAAGCCTGAAGTAGCACCAAAACCATGCCTTTTCAAACCCCCCTCTCCTTTCAATTCAAAACATCTCACATCCAAGGAGGTCCATCAACCTATTTTACAAGAAAAGTCTGACATCACAAAGAATGTTGGCGTTCTAAATTTCAGAAATGGAATGCACACTGGGAACAACAAGCCAAAGTGGGATTACATAATTCCAATCTGTGTATGCAATGACCGAAATTGTGCTGATTGCTCACCGAAGGAAAACAACCAAAATGTTAATCAACATGGGAACAGTCCTGATCCGTGTAAAGCAGGAAATACAGAATGTCCCAGAGAGAGTTCATCCAAATCTCCGCTGAGAACACCGGAGGAAGATAAGCATTTGGTGACACCTAATTTGTCAAAGTGCATATCTGGACTCCGCTCATTCAATAACGATAATTTCCATCCAATTGAAAAACCTCAGAAAACATCCCAGATCCAGAACAAGGAGCCTTTGAAGGTGAATCAGAGTGGTTCTGAGATGCAAACTACCAAGAAACAGCAAACAAACATGGTCTCTAGCGTTAATTCATCTGTTGATAGTGGCCAAACACCAGAGCCTCTAAAACGTAGTGTGCATTATAGTCCGCCCCCTACTAAGCCTATTAAGAAAGCACCACCAGTAGCCTTGCAACGCAAAAATAAGATGGAACAACCCAATGTTATCCATCAGGAGTCAGCGGGCCTTACCAAGTTTACTGTCTTACCTGTTGATGTAAACAATCCAGATCCATTATGGAGAGAAAGTCCTAACAAGGTGAACATCAATGCGAACATCAATGCTGTAAGACATTCTAGAGAGAACAAAGGTCCTCAGGCCATAAGGAGCTTTAAATGTACCCCGTGTAACAGCCAGGACACCCCAGAACCTGTCCCACACCAGAAAATCCCTCAGCTGCAACAAAATAAAAACCAGCAATTTGGTGTACAGGGGACTGAAAATAAAGAACAAAATCTGTATGTATCTCCTGAGGTATCAAGCAATACCCATCTGAAGAAGTCATCCCAGAAACCTCAACCTGATGGGCGAAGGCACGATAACATTGGGTCTACAGAACTTTCAGTAGCCAGACTTCCTAAAAAGACTCTGGCATTCAAAGGTCCACTAAGAAATGATGGTCACATTAATGCAATAAATACTGAAGGAAATCCCCCTCTCGCATTTGAAGGACAAATTGCCAATCAGAACCAAGCAAGTGATGTGCCAAAAAAGAAGACCGGCTTTACTCTCAAGCCTAAAGCAAAGTCCTTATCCTCAGCAGATATACATAAACCTGATGGCCTCAATAAGACCTCCTTTCTAAGGATCATGGACCTTGACCGTGTCAAAAAGGTTCCCAAGTTATCTGTCAAGAGTGGGCAGGCCCTTGATCTCACTCCAGTTATGAATGAGCAGTCAGTGGATACAGAGGAAAGCCACTGTGAAATCTGCTCTCATACACTGGTGTCACTGCACAATGGTCACCTTGATGCGAATATACCTCGAGATGAGCAGAGTGTAGATGAAGATCTTGCAAAACATCTAGAGAATTCTGGTGAATCTGAACATGCATATGAAGATATCCCAGAATATGAAAACCTGCCTCCTTTTAGCACTACAAAGGCACAGGATGCTGATATATACCAAAATCAGTCAACCATGTATGAGGACGATGGTATTTATGAAATTCCAGACGTGTTCCCTGAACACTACGCAGACACCAAAAAGCAGCAGTTTCTTAAAAGGTAAAATTTTAGCCGAAACAGATGAATAATTAATGAGAAATTTGAGTTAGTTGAGAATAGTTGAGATGAGGAAATTTCATTCCTGAATTTGAATTGAAGTAGCAAAATGAAGTACTGAATTTGATTAGCAAAATATAGAATTGCAATTACAATTTTAATTTATTTGCTGAAAATAACACGTATTTAACTAGGAAACAACCTAGGAAAGGCTTTGATGTTTTAGAAAAAAGTAAAAATCATTGATGTTTACGGGCCTTATGGAGGGACAGACATTTATAGTTTGATTATATCATCAAATTTACAAATGTATAAATTTAATAAAAAATCTATACCAATAATAATAAATCCTCTAGTCTTGGTTTAAAATATACAATGGCCCTAAAATGTATTTGGACACTTAAGCAACACTTTATTGAAAAATGTATGGGTGTAATTTTTTTAGATAATTAATTTAGATTTAATCAACAAAAAATGAGCCTGGGCTATTTTTACATGCAGTCTAATTTGATTTAGGGCTATTTTTCTTGTTTACACTCCAATAATTAGACACTTCCTGGCTAACAGCAAAAACAAAAATGTAGGTAAATACAGAAGTTTAGTTTGATTTATGTGACACCTATTTGACATGGAATTTAAAGAATGGTTGCAGCATTCTAAACAGGTGTTGCCGAATCATTTTACCTTTGACCGACATCTAGTTCATACTACAGATTCTGAGACATTACTATTGACGCTTCTGTAGCTATTATGGTGGGAAGAACCGAAATTTGGGGTTTTTGGGATATGTGACACCTCTTCAGTTCAACTCACATACTTTTAACATCTGGGAGGCTTTTTGATTTCTTTTCAGAAATGTGTTGGAAGAAGTGCAAGAATTGGAGGATATGCATTCGGAAGAAGATGAATGCAGCTCAGAAGAGGAGGATGACACCATCAATAGAGAAAAACAGGTACTGTATTCATATTTATATTAAAAAATATTTAAGGGTGTTTTCACAATTTGTCCTTTTCAGGGTTCTGAGCACGGTTTGCCCATATGTGAACACTCCCAAATGATCTCAGACCCTTTTAAAGCAAACCGAACCAAGACCATCTCAGGAGGTCATCAGATGCCTCTGTACATTCATCATGTCTGCGTCTGCTGGCAGATCTCTCCAAATTATTTATGCATTTGTCTGTAATTTCAACCCCTTCCAAACTCTGTGAGAGAGACACAACTGTGTGAACGCCTTGTTTATATTTTTGTGTTAAGCCCGCAAGATATTTAATTATATTATTAAACCACTGCATGGAATGCTTAACTTAATGTATGTTCAATAGTAAATGGAGTAAATAATTGCCTGTTCTCATAATGCCTGATTTCACCAGTAGATTTAAAAAAGCAACAGTATGAACACAGAGGTCCCCATTATTACTTAAGTGGACCAAAAAAGGATCTGAGCTTTTAAAGCTTTTTTAAGTGTGAAAGCACCCTAAATGTTATGAAATACTTTGTAAGATATAACACTTCATGGTCACGGTCAAGTGCAATTTATAGATTAACTACAGTTAAATATTTCGTTTTGATGGTAATATTTACATTTTTTCTAGACTGAGGAGAAGAAGAGCAATAAAACTAAACACATTGTAAATGAGATCTTGTCTTCTGAGAAAATGTAAGTCTGTTTTATCCAGTCAAAACTTCTTTAAAGGAACATTACCATGTCATTCATAACATGTATGCCTTTTCTTTTTTTTTTTTTACTGTGGAAGTAGAATTTTGAAGAATCTTCATACAGCCCTTTTCCATCCAGCCCTTTTGTTAAATTTCTGGTTACCATGTCTCAAGTTTTGTAATATGTGGATGTTACTTTCTGGAAAAGAGTTTCATCAAATTCTCCTTTTGTGTTCCAGAGAATAAAGAAAGTCACAATTTGGATCTTAATGTTTGCATAAATTAGTCCTCTTTTAATACATGTATAATTTTTTATGTTTCTCTTTATTATACTTTTTCTCTTTATTTATTCACAGATTTGTGCAAGTACTAAAGCTCCTCCATGTAGTAAGTGTTTCCTATCACTTGTTGAACTGATTTAGGTGCAGTCACGTTAGGTAGGAAACATTACATAAAAGCCCTGCTTTTCACCCATTTCATGAAATGTGAGTTAATCAGTCACATGGGTTATTTTCTAAATCTGCTTTTTTTGCTTCATCTACTTCATCTACTTTATTATTGAAATCACACTTACTTGCAGTCAGTGTTGGTAATCTGTTACTTTTACTGCATTTATCAGTGTTTTGTTGGAATTTTTTTAATCAAATGGCAATTCAGTAGCTTCAATGTGGGTGACAGTGAAGTTCAGTGGTAGTAAAATTCGTATATATGGATGTATGAGTGCTGAAGCAGTGGGGGAGTTGAGTTAGATGTGAAAAAGTCACGAACTATCAATAGTTAATGGCTTTAGTTCTCTTACGAGAGTATCTCTCGTACTGCGTAATAGCTTACGCTAGGGGAAAAACTCTTTTCCACGAGATATTGAAGCCAAAAATTATCCTTAATTTTTTATTAATGTAAAACGCTTTGCAGCAGCAAGCAGACATAGGCGAAACAGCTCGCGCGCCTATTGGTTGCTCTGCAGCAAATGCAGCAGCCTATCGAGAGAGACTCTGCGTGACGTAATGACCAATGGGGGCAATTCGCGCCCATATCGTCACGTCCCGCCAGAAGGGGCGTGGTCTCACCCTATAAATATGCTCGTTAGGCTGGTACAAGCTGATTTTTATCTCTTCAGCGACGCACACGCATCGCTGGATCCGGGGTGAGAAGCCGCGCCGTCGAAGCAAGCCTTTCAGCGGGACGAGCTCTGGAGTCGCTGGCCTCGCCGCCTTCAACTGCCGTACCTGCTGCGCTTTCCGGCGTTCTATATCCTTTTATTCTCTGTGTGTATTTACTCTGTTGAGAGTGTTTGCTCGCTTACTTGACGCGACTCACACTTCTCTCACAAAAGAGCTGCGTCTTTTTAAAGATGCCTTCCTGTGGCTCGTGCCGCGCCCCGCTCAGCGATGGAGACCGGCACGTCATCTGTGTTTCCTGCCTGGGTGAGGATCACGCGGCTCTCGCGCTCGCTGACGGCGGATGCCCTCATTGCGAGCTTTTGCCTATGGTGACTCTGAGGACTCGCCTGGCATCATTCTCCGAGCCTTCACCGCAGCCCGCCGTGGTGCCGCGCCGCAAGAAGCGCCGCGCCCAGCGCGCTCCCGAGCTTTCTCCAGCCCGCCAAAGTTCGCCGGTTCGCCCGCCAGCTTCACCGGCTTCGCTCGAGTCGCTCACTGACGGACAACGGCCGCCGCCTGCCGCCGCGTCCATCCACGAGTTTGACGAACCCACCGAGGCGTGTTCTCTTCTGGCATCCGATAGCGAGGATTGGGCGAGCTCCGTGGACCTCCCCTCCGCTAGCGTTTCCCGCCAGACCACTGGTAAGAGAGCCGGCATTGAGACTGAGCTGATGCGTCTGCTCTCTCAGGCCGTGGAAAGCATCGGCCTCGATTGGGAGGCGCCCGCGCAACCGCCGCGCAACAGAATGGACGGACGCTTTCTCGGAAATGACGAGGCTCCGTCAAAATCGCGGCCCACGCCCTTCCTCCCGGAACTTCACGAGGAAGTGACTAAATTGTGGAACGCCCCCTTCTCCGCCAGGCTGCGTACCTCTGCCTCTGCTGCTTTCTCCTCGGTGGATGGCGCGAAGGACAGAGGATACCTTTCTGTTCCTCCTGTGGAACCAGCTGTAGCGTCTCATCTCTGCCCGCCCTCCGCTGGACGGCGCGCTCACACGACGCTACCATCTAAAGCCTGCCGAGTGACGTCAGCCATGCACGGACGCGCTTACACCGCCGCCGGGCAAGCAGTTTCAGCGCTGCACACTATGGCTATCCTGCAGATCTTCCAGGCCGACCTTCTCCTTAAATTGGACGAGGAAGGACCCGGAGCGATCTGCGTGGCGGACCTGAGAAGCGCTACAGACCTCGCTCTTCGCGCTACTAAAGCCGCTGCGCAGGCCATAGGACGAAACATGGCCTCTCTCACCGTGGCTGAGAGACACTTATGGCTGACGCTGTCCGAGATGACGGAAGCCGAGCGCTCTGTGTTCCTCGACGCGCCCATTTCACAAGCGGGCCTTTTCGGATCTGCCGTCAAAGATTTCGCGGACAGATTCATGGAGGTGCAAAAGACTTCGCAGGCCATGAAGCACTTCCTTCCGAAGCGCTCGAGCTCCGCTGCAGGCCGCTCAAAACAGCCGTCTGCTCGCAGTTCTCAGCCGCAGCCTGCACCGCCCGCCGCCGCCGCTTCACAGCGCCGCCACGCCCGAGACCAAAGACCGCGCTCTCGCTCTGCTGGACGCCGCCCCCCTCAGCGCGGGCCCCGGCCGAGGATTGAGATCAAGCCCGAGGCCTCAAAATCTTCCTAGCCATTCTAGGAAAGCGACGGTGTTCAGATCCCGCTGCGGCCGGATTTCCACCAAAACTTCTCGCTCGGTCAGTTCCAAACATCGCGACTGTCCCAGTGTATTTCGCAGTGAGCCAGCCGGTGTCTCAGCCCGTTTGCCTGCGCACAAAAGCCGTTTTTACGGCTACCCAGATAAATCCAATAAAGAGTGCATTTTCTGGTGTTCCGGCCACGGCCGATGGTGTTATGAGTGTTGTAAGAATGCCCACCCAGTGCCCATTCCCACACCCAGACACAGCCCGCCACGGTGCAGGGCTAGCACAAATAAAATCGACTCAGGTCGATTGTGCAAACAATGTAGTAAACGCGCCCCATGTCACCATGCCCGCTCACACTACATGCTGCGTGTCCCTTGGTTTCTGTAAAAACGAAACCAACACACATTCAGTCGGCCATGACCGACAATGTTTTCAGTGTAATAAATGTGCCCGCAGCCCCGCGCCCACATTTTCTCACAGACACGCCGATTCCTACGGGATCTCCCCCGCTCGCTTTTTCTGCACAATCTGCCATAAAAAAGCTGAGCGCGGCCAGGCCGCCCGCTGTGATCAGCGCGCCCCCCGCCTCGAACGCTGTAAACACGGTGTTGTGTTCCCAGTATGCCCGGGCTCTCGAGCTGCCGTTTTGTCGCGGCCGGAGCCCGGATTTCATTCTGCCTCTAGCTATTCACGCAGATGCGTGGTCAAAGCTTCCCGGGGTATCAGAATGGGTGCTGAACACTATAAAGAGAGGCTATTCGCTACAATTCGCTCGACGCCCGCGCCATTATACGGCGCGTGTCGAAACTACGGTGAAAAACGAAGTGTCTCATCTACTTCGTGCCGAGATAGCGAAACTACTGAGCAAAGGGGCTATAGAACCTTTATCTCAGGCTCAGAGCGAAGGGGGCCTATACAGCAGATATTTTCTGGTACCGAAAAAGGATGGGGGTCTCAGACCCATTTTAGATCTACGACAGCTGAACAGAGTGCTTGTGAAACGCCAGTTCAGAATGCTTACGACCAGGAAAATACTCGCGCAAGTGCGCCACGGGGACTGGTTTATGTCGATAGATCTGAAAGACGCCTATTTCCAAATACAAATAGCGTCCCATCACAGGCGATTCTTGAGATTCGCCTTCGAGGTCCAGGCATATCAATACACAGTCCTGCCGTTCGGCCTGTCCCTAGCACCTCGTACATTTACGAAGTGCATGGACGCGGCGCTCGCACCCCTGAGACTTCAGGGCATGCGAGTCCTGAACTACTTGGACGATTGGCTGATTCTAGCTCGATCACGATCGGAGCTCATAGAACACAGGGCCGCATTACTCGAGCACCTCGAGGAGCTGGGCCTCACAGTCAATTGGGCGAAGAGCTCACTGTCTCCCAGTCAGAAAATTTCCTTTCTGGGAACCGTGTTGGACTCGCTGTCCATGACAGCACGCCTGTCACCAGAGCGCGGGCTAAATATTCAGCGCGGCGCGAAATCCTTCCGCCACGGCGCGATAGTTCCGCTCAAAAGGTTTCAGAAAATGCTGGGGCTGATGGCCTCAGCAGCCTCTGTACTCCAGTTGGGCTTGCTCCGCATGCGCCCACTGCAGATGTGGCTGAAAGCGCGGGTTCCACCCAGGGCATGGACAGCGGGTCTGTTTCGCCTCAGGGTCGACCTTCAGTGTGTTTCAGCTCTGGAACCTTGGAAAATAACCGACTGGTATCAGTCAGGTGTGAGTCTGGGGACCGCTTCGAGTGTGAAGGACCGCTGCCCTCGCTGCTCGAGGGCAGACCGCTAGCTGGCCTGTGGTCAGAACGGGAAAAGCTCCTTCACATAAACTGCTTGGAGATGATAGCAGTCGACAAAGCGCTACGGCGTTTTTGTCCCCAGGTAACAGGCCACCACGTCTTGGTCCGGTCGGACAACATGTCAGTGGTGGCATACATAAATCGCCAGGGCGGCGTCAGGTCACGAAACCTTCACAGGCTGACGGAACGCCTCCTGGTCTGGGCTCAGCACAACCTGCTCTCACTGAGAGCAGCGCACGTGCCTCGTCACCTGAATGTGGGACCAGACAGACTGTCCAGGAACAATGTTCCAGCAGGGGAATGGTCGCTGCACCCGCAGACGGTCCAGCTGCTGTGGAAAACGTTCGGCAGAGCACAGGTGGACCTATTCGCGTCCCACGAAAACGCTCATTGCCCGGAGTTTTTCTCGAAAAGCAAGGACGCGCTGGCTCATGTTTGGCCCCGCTGCCCCCTATATGCTTTTCCTCCTGTCTCGCTCCTGCCTCAGGTGTTGGAACGAATCAGGGAGAACGGATGCCCAGTGCTGCTCGTAGCTCCGCTCTGGACAAACCAGACGTGGTTCCCTGCCCTGATGCAGCTGACCAGCACTGCCCCATGGCCTGTACCATTGATGAGAGACCTCCTCTCTCAGGCGGAGGGCTCGATTTGGCACCCTCGCCCGGAGTTGTGGTCCCTGCACGCATGGGCCATCAACGGGTACCCGCTAGCCTCCCAGAAGGAGTGTTAAACACGATCGCGCAGGCTAGAGCTCCGTCTACCAGGCGGCTCTACTCCTCGAAATGGTCTGTTTTCTCTGCATGGTGTCAAGCCCAGAGCTTTTCACCTGTGGAATGCGGGGTTTCGGAAGTGCTTTCCTTCCTTCAAGAGCTACTGGATAAGGGCAGGACCCCATCCACGCTCAAAGTATATGTGGCGGCCATAGCAACGTTTGCAAAACCGGTGTCTGGCCAGTCGCTGGGGAAAAACGACTTAGTCGTGCGTTTCCTTAGGGGAGCTCGGAGGCTGAACCCTCCCAGGCCCCCTTCAGTCCCGACGTGGGACCTTTCCACGGTCCTGGAGGCCATGAAAGGCGACCCGTTCGAGCCAATCCAGCTGGTGGACATGAAACACCTGTCGTTCAAAACAGTGTTTCTCATGGCTCTCGCTTCAGTGAAGCGCATAGGGGACTTACAGGCGCTTTCAGTAAGCGCGTCGTGTATGGAGTTTGGGCCTAATGACTCGAAGGTCATTCTCAAACCAAAGCACGGGTATGTCCCGAAATCCCTCAATACACCGTTCAGGGCCCAGGTAATTTCCCTGTCCGCCCTTCCGGTTCTCAGTGAGGAGGAGGATGCGAGTCTCCTTTGCCCCGTCAGGGCATTGAGAGCTTATGTGTCACGCTCGTCTGTTTTCAGACAGACGGAGCAGCTTTTTGTTTTGTTTGGCGGGCGTTCCAAGGGACTCGCCGCCTCAAAACAGAGCCTATCCAGATGGATAGTGGATGCCATTGCGCTCGCTTACTCTGCGAAGGGCCTACAGTGCCCCTTGGGTGTCAGAGCGCACTCCACGAGAGGCGTGGCCTCTTCGTGGGCGTGGTCGAGCGGGGTTTCCCTGCAAGATATCTGTACGGCCGCGGGCTGGGCCTCGCCGTCTACATTTATAAAATACTATAACCTGGAGGTACCCGCCTTACAAGCTAAGCTTTTGGCGGTCTAAAATTCAGTGCTATCTGCCCCGCTGTGCGGCCCAGATGCTGAGTTTACTGCAGCCCCATGAGTGTTGACACACGTATGGCCACCCAGATCAGGCTGAAAGCTTTCACCCTTGCTGCGCGTTTTATTGTCATATGATAGCCCCGCTGGGTGCTTTTTTATAGGGAATGACGCTTCCAGCCTCTCTTCCTCCACTCTATGTGAGTTTATGGTGATTATGCACTACATGAGCCCTGGGCTTCGGCCCCCGGGACTTTGGTGTTGGATCCCTGTACGCACGGCGTGTTGCATTGTGTTCCCCTAGCGTAAGCTATTACGCAGTACGAGAGATACTCTCGTAAGAGAACGTACTCGGTTACTAACGTAACCTCGGTTCTCTCTAGAGAGGGAACGAGTACTGCGTATCTTGCCGTGCTTGGAATACGCTCTGGTTCGCTTCAGCGATAAAAACCAGCTTGTACCAGCCTAACGAGCATATTTATAGGGTGAGACCACGCCCCTTCTGGCGGGACGTGACGATATGGGCGCGAATTGCCCCCATTGGTCATTACGTCACGCAGAGTCTCTCTCGATAGGCTGCTGCATTTGCTGCAGAGCAACCAATAGGCGCGCGAGCTGTTTCGCCTATGTCTGCTTGCTGCTGCAAAGCGTTTTACATTAATAAAAAATTAAGGATAATTTTTGGCTTCAATATCTCGTGGAAAAGAGTTTTTCCCCTAGCGTAAGCTATTACGCAGTACTCGTTCCCTCTCTAGAGAGAACCGAGGTTACGTTAGTAACCGAGTACGTTTTCCAGGGCCATTTCCACTCCAAAATCTGTGTACTGAGTAAATAAACCAAGTTAAGGCATTGTTTCCTTAAACAACGAGTTCACCCTCATGTCGTTCTGAACCCATATACATGTGACGAATTATTCTGGTGTGGATGAATTATTTTGGCTGTATATAGCCTATATATATTTTTACTGTGTTAAGAAACAAAGACTTTGGGCATTATCAGTGCTTTTGTTGTTACTGATGGTAAAATGTCATTATATACTGACTCCTAAAATAATGATTTACTTTTCTATAGTTTAATCTCACTTCCCTAAACCTTTGCAGGATTTTCGTGAGGCGGTACTGAAGGCCTCCTGTCAGGCGGGAAAAGCCGTGATCGATGAGCGAGTCGTGAACCAGATCTTGTGTTCTTTGCCCCAGCTGTACGAGCTAAATTGCGACCTGTTGAAGGAGCTGGAAGAACGGGTTGCTCACTGGTAATGCAACTGCACCAACATCAACAAATACCAGAAAGCAGCAATCTTGCATACCTTCTTATTTACATTTAAACTATGGGAAGTCAGCCTTACAGGAGCTGTACAGTGCATTTGTAGGTTTGCCGTGATTTCATGGAAATTGTCACTGTAGAAACTGTTGAAAACCACATCATGTTTGTTATAGCTAGGCTAGTGAAAGAAATCAGATAAATCGGTCAATGGCAAATAACACTGGCATATAAAAGAAAATAAATGTTTAAAACAATTGTGTCACATTCTTAAAGATGGGTAGGATGTCCCGTTGAGCCAACTCTCTGACCAGGAATCATCCGAACCTTCCCTCACGTTACAGTGCCCCTGCTCGTCATAGAAAATGTGTTTTCAAGTCTTTGTATTTATGAATTGCAGTTTTAATGTAGTGACAAATATGAGCGTCACATCATTGACCTATATACTCATTGGGTCTAATTCCTTAAAGCATTTTACCCACAAAAGGTCTGGAAACTAGATATGACCAGTCATTTTCAAGTTATTGAAAAAAATGGCATTCTAAATTTTTGGTAACATTTTAGTTTAGGGTCAAATTCTCACTATTAACTAGTTGCTTAATAGCATGCATATTATTACTTGGATATTGGCTGTTTATTAGTACTTATAAAGCACATATTAATGCCCTACTCTGCATGACCATATACTACATCCCTCAATCATACCTCATACCTAAACTTAACAACTACCTTACTAACTATTAATAAACAGTAATTAGGAGTTTATTGAGGCAAAAGTCTTGTTAGTGAGAATTAAACTAAACTAAAGTGTGACCAAATTATTGATAAAAACTTAAGGGTTTATTTAAAAATGAATATTTAAAAATGCATTGGCCTGTTCTGTCATCATCTACTCACTCACATATCATTCCAATCCTGTATGACTTCTGCAGAACACAAAACAAGAGATTTGCTAGTTGCTCTTTAAATGTTAAGCCACTGAAAATCTTGACATCTGCACTAGCCATCCTGGAGAATTAGCAATGTCCTTTTGGGTCAAAAAGTCTTTTCAATTAAATAAGTTGATCTTGTTCACAAAACTGGTCTGAATGATTCAAAAAGGGCAATCTTCAAAATATCTTTTGAGTTCCATGGATGATCGAAAGTTACATGGGTTTGGACAACATGTGTAAACAAATGGTTGTATTTTTTATAGAAGTTTCCTTGTTCAAACAGGAACAAGCATTGTGGTGTAGCAGATATATTTGTGAAGAAAGGACCTTATTTAAAAATGTACTCAAATTATATTCGTGAGTTCGACAAGAATGTGATACTTCTAGAAGAGCATTGCCGGAAAAACCCAGCATTTGCCAAAGTCGTCAAAGAGTTTGAGGTAATAGAACCACTCCGACCTGTTTTTAATTCATACCTTAAATGCCTTTGTAGTGATGTGAATAGTCTCTTGGGTGGTTTTGCTTTTTGTTTTTCATTTTTTTTAAATTCTTAACAAAAATTCATCTTCTGTCTTTCTTTCTCTGTCTTACTTTCTCAATGATACAGAGCAATCCGTGCTGCGCTAACCTCGCAGTGAAACATTACATGCTTAAACCTATCCAGAGGATTCCACAATATCAACTCCTCCTAACTGGTGAGAATTTTTACAATTTAAGAAGATTTTATGAAGGAAATGGGAGTGCTTTCCTATACAAAAATCACTGCCACAATGCTAGGGTGTTGCTATGCAGTTGCTTAGGTGTTCTGTATGGCAGTGCAGTTGCTAGGTTATTGTGGGTGGTTTCCAGGGTGTTGCTTTGTGGTTGCTAAGGTTTTCTGAGTAGTTTTTTCAGCACATTGTGGTGCAGTTGCCAGTGTGTTGGCTTGTTGCCATGCTGTCACTAGGTGTTTTTTTAGTGTGTGGTTTTTTTAGCACATTGCAATGTGTGTTTGACTGAACTGACACTTTTGAACGAGATCTGAACTGAGCTGGACGATGACATCACTGTTTTCTGCAAAGCTGCTTTATATTTATATAATTGAACTAATTTCACAATTGATGAACTTAACACAGTTACTGAACTGAACTGAAATGAAAACTGAACTGACTTCAGCTGAACAATGACACTATTGTATTTTTAGATCTGCTTTACATCACAATTGAATTGTGTTCACATCCTTGATCATTATTTTCCTGTTTATCACTGTAAAACTTCTTTGAAATAATCGTTATTGTATAAATCATTGTATAAATAAAGATGACTCGACTTGGTTGCAACAAGTTTTTTGGCCAGGTTGTGTTGTTCTATGTGGTGTTTCAATTAGTAACACATTGTAGTGCAGTTTGCTAGGGTATTGTGGATGGTTGCCAGGTTGTTGCTATCCGGTTGCTAAGGTATTCTGGATGGTATTTAGCACAACATGCAGTAAGTGTGGTTTTAGTGCACATAAGAGGTTAAGAGGTAAGAGGTTTTAGCTCATTGCAGTTGCTAGCACTGATCTGTATAATGACTGAATTGCTCATTGCGTTCTGAACTGCCACCGGAAGTGTTCGAGCGGCCATCTTACTATTCCCTACCGACAGAGGGCATCATTGACTTACAACCAAAACATTAAACTAAAATCACCCGATTTGCAGCGTCTCAGTCTCACAGGATTACTTGTATGATATATGTATTTAAATTATTTGTTACTTTAGATGTTGTCTGTAATGTTTATGGTCTTTTCGGAAAGGATAAGTCATATATTGAAATTGTTAATGTGGGTGTGTCTACTGCACACTTCCGACAAAGGTAACCGACCCAACACAAAATATATTTCTTTATGTACGTAATTATGGAGGAAATATTAAACATGAACATAAAGTATATCTGGAATTGATTAGAAAAGCCTATACAATTAAAATTAAAAATGAATTGCACTATATTGTATTAAAATTTAAAGTTTACCATGCATGCATCATCTTGGAAATAAAGGAGTCTGTGTTATTTGTCTGAATAAGTTATGATGATGTGTTTTTTATTTCCTGATTGAGCAACATATTTCAGACATGTGAGGCAAAATACAGACTTGTATTTTGCACAAGTTGTTAGCACTATTAGAAGACCAGGACATTACTGACAGAAATACAAAAACAAACTAACAAATTACTAATTTTGTGGATCAACCACTGTCTGTAATGTGGATTGTATAGGCCATAGGGGCAGAGGCGTTGCGGTCGTGTGCAGGCACAGGTTCACCGTCTGATCTGGATACGGCCCGGATCTGGCTGACTTCAGTAAACATCGGAATAAATGGAAAGGCTAACATTAGCGTAGATGCCGTTCTTCTTATAATGTAACGAGTACATCGGATGTTGTAGGAAGTGTCCCCTGTTCCGGCTGACCTAATCTATGCAGCCTAATAATCATTTAACTGATTTGAATAATAGAAATGTATAATGTTCTATATTATTGGCAGGTTAAAAAGATGCGTTTTTAGTCTAGATTTAAACTGACAGAGTGTGTCATAAATTACATAAATAACTAAGGAGTATTGTAGATTATTAGATTATTAAATTATTAGAATTACATTACATTCAACTTCTATTGGTTTGAAACTAAAGGCAGCATCATGGAGGCAGCATTTGCAACACGTGATTATGTTTGCTGAGTAAAAGTTTGGATCATATGCAAGCAGGATAATGGCCGCTGAGAGATGACCTTGCGGGACTAGATGAAGCTTAGAATGGAAATTGGCTAAAAATGAATGAACTAGTGAAATGGCAACTTCTAATTGTTTATTATTAAAAAATGTATGCATTTCAAATATATTTAAATTACTCTCAAATTTTTTATATTTATTTTTTCCTCAGATTATTTGAACAATCTAGATGAAGAATCCCCAGACTACAGAGATGCAGAAGGTGAAAATAAAAGCTCTCGAAATCTTCCATTATTAGGCACACCTTTAATTCATCTAAATACATACAGTACAACTAAAACCTGATCTGAATCTTCTATTATATGAAAAAAAAATGATATCTTTATAAATCTCTACAGCTGCCCTAGTGATAGTAAAGGAGGTGGCTAATCACGCCAATGAATTCGTAAGACAAGAGGTAATTCAGAATCAATTTTTTACTTTCTAAAAGAACTATAACTTTTCTTGGTAAATCTTGAGAAATGCAAATTTTTGTTTTCAAACAGGATAACTCCCAGAAGCTCTATGAGGTTCAGTGCCGCTTGATTGGGAATCATGTGATTGTCCAACCAGGAAGGGTAGGTTAACAACAACAGTTCACTCTTGTTGAACTCTTTGCAACAGTAAATGCTTTTGAAATATATCAATGCATGTTTCTTTAGGTTTTGTTAAAGGAAGGGATCTTGATGAAGCTCTCCAGGAAAGTGATGCAGCCTCGAATGTTCTTCTTAGTAAGTGACAGTTGTCACAATTCTCATTCATTTTATTATAAATGACATGAAACAATATTCACACTGCAACTGTATATGAGACATATTTCCAAGTGAAACACTCTATTCAGTGTTCAAACTCTATTCAAACTCAAATATCTTTGTTACTTTTTCTTGCTCTATAAAAATGTATTTCTATTGTATTTGAACAGACAAACGATAGTCTTCTTTATACCACGCAAGTCGCATCGGGCAATTTCAAACTGAACAACGTACTGTCATTGGCTGGGATGAAGGTGAGATCTTTATTCTAAATTTATCATATTAAAATGAAATATGATATTTTATTTTAAATTAAATAATTAAACAATTGTCATCAATAATTTTAGTAAAAAGTGCAATATTTATATAAATTTCATATTGTATTTTTTTCTGTTATTATCTGTATTTTCCTCAGGTTAGTAAACCTAGTCAAGAGGGGTATCAAAATGAGCTGAACATTGAGAGTGTTGAACGATCTTTCATTTTATCTGCCAGGTGAGAATCTTTAAAAAGTTTTAAATCATGTGGGTCGATGGTGTGACGCTCATTTTTTGTCCTATCCATTCATTTACTCTTAAAGTTCACCAAAAAAATAAATCTAATTCTGTCATTATTTATTCACCCTTATGTTGTACCAAACCTACTACACTAAATATGTACACTAAAGAAATTTTAAAGAATGTTCTTTTGTCAGTGACAATATTGTATGGAGAAGGGAAAGTCATTTTTTTATACTACGCTATGCTTGAATCGGACTAGCTGACGAACGTTCTAAGGTGTGCAATTACTTTTAGGGAAGCGCACGGCTAAAGTAGTTCCAGGTCTTGACCGCATTACGGTTCCATATCACTTCGCGTAGTTAACTGTAATAACGGAAAATAGGATACAATGGCAATATAGTACACAGACATAATACAGACCTGCAAACTTGTCGCTTTTCGGCGTTTTCTTGGTCAATTGGGTCATTCACGTGAATCGCGTAGAACCGGAGAGTTTTGGGGGGGGGGGGAGGCTGCCCTTAATCTGCACGCAGGCTAGAATTGCGAAACATTATTGGATAATTCTTATAATTGACATTTCTCTGGGCCAATCGGAATCTTAGTACTTTTTGTCTTGGCCAATCGGAATCTTAGCACCAAGAATGCGAACCGCCAATAAGCCCAAAGAAGAAGAAGAAGAAGAAGAATCTTAGCACTTGCGTCAGAATCGCCATTGGATGAGACACCTGGCTACCACGCGAGTCTGATGGAAACTCATAACGTGAAGGAATCTTATGTGAAATTCGAGGTAAATCAAGCTTTTTTGGAGCAAAAACAACAGCTAGTTGTTTGCTTGATTCAATTAACGTTAGCTACCGCTTTGTTATGCTCTCTCTCTCTCTCTCTCTCTCTCTCTCTCTCTCTCTCTCTCTCTCTCTCTCTCTCTCTCTCTCTCTATGCTCGTTCTTTCAGCGCCCTGTCACCACTGTCTATGGTCACGAGCAGGGCGCTGAAAGAACGAGCATATAGAGAGAGAGAGCCGGTCGCGCGCGCGGGCGCACTCTCACTGTATTCAAACTGCCTTGCTTGCTCTCCCTCCATCGCGCATATTAATCAAAATCTATTGAGAATTGACACGATAGTAAAAGATCAAAAGACCAAAGTTTCACGTGGAGATTTTTGTTCCTGAATTACCGCTGGGTGTGAATTGCAGCCTACTAAAATTGCCCTATCCTCTCTGAAAAGCGTTCCGCACATTCAGCTGACAGAAACCACATTTTCAAGAAACAAAAAACCTATCCAGTGATTAAATGTTTTCTGTGTTGAGAGTTGAGACAAATCTTGTGCGATGTCCTTATCTGCTGGGAATAATCACACAACGCGTGCTGTGTGTGTCAGCTAATGGCACGTCCGATTCGCGAACTAATGACTCATTTGAACCGATTTACTTTTATGAATGGTTAAAATAACTGATCTGTCCAACATCTGTCTCTTCAAAAGAGATCTGAATCGGTGGATAACAAATCGATAACACCAAACTAGTTAATATTAACTATTCATAAACTGCACTTCTTAATCTTTATAAATAAATAGCATTTATTAATCTTTGGTAATGTTAATTTCACTATTTACTAGTAGCCTTATTACAATTAAAAGTTCTATTTGTTAATATTAGTTAGCCTAATGCACTGTGTAGTAATATGAACAAACAACGAACAGCTGTATTTTTATTAACAAAGAATAATAAATACAGTAACAAATGTATTGCTCATCATGGTTCATTTATATTTTACTGCCTTTTTTCTCCTTTGCCAAACCTATGATAATTATATATACAGTATAGTGTTCATCCAGAACAACATGTAACTGTGTAACCACACCCTGGCAACCGTTTAAAGCTACCTAGCAACCATATTGCAACATATAGAAGCCATATTGTAGCTCCACAACATCGTTAAGACATTGTTGTTGTCTCGTATGCAATCATGTACAACATTGTAGCAACTATCCTAGCAACCGAGCGGCGAGTTTTGCCACTGCAAGCACCCTCCATAACCCCCCCACCCCCCGGCAACAGTGTCACCTTTTTTACTCTGAGGAGTTTGCAGGTCTGATAATAACAAAATGACAAACAATTTAGATTTTTTGAAAGTGAATTGTAATATCTATGGTGAACATGAAAATTTTAACTACTGGGCAACAGCAGTATTGGAAAGTCCAGATGAAAAAATAAATAAAAGGAAGTGGACATCGAAGGCAGCCAGCAACAACAAAAGACATAAAACAATTAGTGAAGAACAGCTGGACAGACCCGAAGGCGAAAAACATGAAGTAAACACCAAAAAAACAACAGCTTGGGCTGTCAATGTTTTTAACTTGGCCTTAAGGCCAAAAAAGTAGATTGAGAGGGGACAGACGCTTTAAATGCCCAGCTGCGAGCTTTCTATGCCACCGTCCGAAACCAGTCCGGCGCAGAGTATTCAGTGTCAACTTTTCTTTCCCTAAGAGGTGGACTGATCCATATATACAAATACAACATCATTCGGCAATCGGAATTCAAGTCATCCAAAAGCGTATTCAGGGCCGTCCACAAAAGGTTGGAAGGTTGTAAGAAGAACTCAGTCCTACACACAAGGACAAAAACCTGACAAATGTCTTGAAATAAATCATCTGTACAGTGTTTTGAGGTGTGGTAACTGTAGTATAAGCGGAATAATTGACTCCGGGCCGTTGAATTATTAGAAAAATAATGCACACCCGAGGTGTAATCTGCTTCTCGTCGTGGCCGCATTACCACCTTGGGTGTGCATTATTTTTCTTATAATTCAACGGCCCGGGGTCAATTATTCCTTACTTGGTATGACAAAAGCATTAATAAATTATGATAGAATTTTTTTTCCCCAACAATATGTGAATACTGACCCTTATTTATTTCATGCCCCATAACAAAATTCATACAATTGAATTTGTATGTTTCTGATGTACAAACTCTCATGGTTTTATCCGCAAAGCTCTGCTGCATGTCGAGATGAGTGGCTACAGGCTATTTCTACTGGAATCAACGATTATACTAAGAAAGAGACCACCTTCACCTCAGTTAGAAACCCAGAGATGGTAAACTGACTCATAAACTTTATAATAATCTTCATGTGTGCAATTTTGTTGTAAACTAAATCAATGAAATTTTCCAGGCAACCCAAGAAGTTGTAGACATTGAGGCCCAGCTGGGAACCAGACGCCCAATATGGATCCCAGATCAGAGAGTCACTATGTGTATGATCTGCACCTCTGAGTTCACCCTCGCCTGGAGACGCCACCATTGCAGAGCCTGTGGGAAGGTGAGAAGATTTTGCTCCCTTTAGACCCCATTTACATCTGATATTAAATTACATTCTTGGTAATCCGATCACAAGCAGCAAAACCAGTGTGGCGATGCATGTCCACTGTGTGATCCAATCACTCAAAACACTTTCTGTCATAGGCATAATTTGCAAGTGGGACGGGTTGGACATGTCCCCAACACTTTTTGCCAGGGTCGATATTGTCCCCACCACTTTTTGCCAGGGTCGATATTGTCCCCACTACTTTTTGCCAGGGTCGATATTGTCCCCACCACTTTTTGAAACATCTCGCAGCAAGGATGTGCCTAATACAAAAGAAACATCTCCATTTGATTAGCAATTCGTTCGTTTGTGTTAAAAAAGAGTCGATCTGGCAATGGAATGTGTTGTTTTTGAAATCATGCTGAGTGCTCGTTGCCACTGTTAGCAGTGGCGGGAGGCAACTGTGCTCTCTTGGCACTTGTGCACAAAATGCACACAAACGTCTCCATGCTCTTGATATACAATCACTGATGAACACCAATGGTTTTAATGAGAAAAAGAACAAAACAAGGGCAGATTAGAAACTCTTTGACACACACACAAGTTCTACCACCAGACCATTAAAGGGATAGTTCACCCCAAAATGAAAATTCTGTCAGTAATTACTCACCTTCATGTTGTTCCAACCCCGTAAGACTTTCGTTCATCTTCAGAACACAAATTAAGATATTTTTGATTAAATCTGAGAGCTGGATCACTCCTCCATAGGCTTCTAAGGGATTGAAACTTGCCGGCCCAGAAAAGTTATTAAAGACATCGTTAAAATAGTCCAAGTGACTACAGTGGCTCAATCAATCAAGCGTGGTTTATCAAGCGACGAGAATACTTTTTGTGCGCAAAAAACAAACAAAAATAACAACTTTATACAACTATTCCTTCCTGCTCAGCTACTGTACGGACGCTCTTGCTTACTGCTCCGCGCTTTTTTTATTTTTTTATTTATTTATATTTTTTATTGCTCTATCGTGTTTATATTTTTATATTTTATTTCCTTTTATCACCTAATTTTAACTTCAGCAAATCAGCACAGTGCTCAAACGCCTGATTACTAGAAAAAAGCAGAATTATTTTCTCCGACCAGCCTCCCACTGAAAGCTTACATTCCGGGGAAGAGAAAACACAACTGCCTACATTCATAAGGACGAGAGAAAATGCCTCTTCTGGAATCTACTTGCTGCACTAACTGCCAGAGACTTTTACAAAGGATTGCAGTTCTTGAAACAAAGTTACTTGTGGGACCACCAAACCAGACGGAACACACAACAGAGCTTCATCATGGATGCCATCAGCATGCCGGTGAGTCCCATGAATCTAGTGCTCCAATACAAGCCATACTGAGTGTAGAGAAACAAGCCGATCGACTTACAAATCGATGGCACAAACAGGGAGCGAGACCCAAAGGCACTCGAGACATCAGATTGTCACTAGCATCACACATTGCCGCAGTAGCATCCTCTACCTCAGATACGGCTCTGACAAGGATTGCAAACACTGGTCTCCTACCACCGTCTATACATCTTGAGAACAGATTTGAAGTATTAATGAATGAGGAATCCCTGAATGTGATGAATGTGATCGAACACAGACTGAATAAGCCAGTAGCTAACACTGCTAACTGGCGCTCAAGGTCGAGCAGACAGCGGCACTCAGCTCAGAGCGCAGCCGAGCCCAGGACTCTGATAGTGGGTGACTCCATAATCAGAAACATTATAAGCAGGGACACAACTACATGCTGCCTTCCACAAGCAACAACTTCTGATGTAAATAGGGAACTTCAGAACATTCTGATGAAACATAAGACTGCAAATCGACTCATCATTCATGTGGGGAAGAATGATATTCATAAAGAGCAGTCAGAACTCATTAAGAAGGATTTCAATGAACTTTTTGAAACACTGAAAAGACTGAAAGTTCAGACATTCATCAGTGGACCACTCCCAGCAAGAGGAACAAACAGGTTTTCACGGTTGCTTGGGCTTAACACATGGCTGCAAAAAACCTGCAATATAAAAGTAGTGAACTTCATTGACAACTTCAATCTTTTCTGGAGTCAGAGGCAACTGTTTCAACAGGATGGGCTCCACCCAAACAAACTTGGTTCAAGAGTGCTAAAGGACAATATCTACTACTCCCTCCATCATCCTTCTGCAGTGTGTGCCAATCCACTCAACCTGAATGGCACACACACACCTGGAAACAGTATGAATGACCACAGGACTTCACTTCAGCACCTGAATGGACATGCGGTTGACACATCACACAAGGACAATGATAACACCACTCAGCCACAACAACCTCTGCTCACGGACACAATCTCAGCTGAGCCCTGCCCACAGAGCTCACCACAGACAGACTGTGACATACTAGAACTGCTAGAAGATTCAGCACCCAAGGACGACTTTCTGGAAAACAGCCAGGAAATCCAGGACAGCATACTACAGCCTCCGATAACACCAGAGCAACAGCCCCTCTCACCAGACACGTTATCCCTCTCTCCAGCAACTCCACTTCTGTGCTTCTCAGAGAAAATGGAACAACTGGTGTATGCTGGAACCAAACTATCCCACTCTTTTGCTGCAAGCCCCCAGATGTCAACCAAAAAACGGCAGGCCCCACAACCACCAAAGCCTGCGGGCCCAGCTCGCCCTCCCCTCCTCCTGTGAGAGCTCTTCGGCCTCTGCCACAGCGCCAGGGCCCACACCCTCCAGCGGCTCGAGGTGAACCAAAAACAACTGATACCAGCTCTCAGTGATACGTGTCGGGTCCCCGCTATGATAACAGTAACTTTCTTAAATGTTTACAAAACAAGCGGGAACCCAGTGTGCCTGAATCTTTCTCTATTGCTGTTCAATTACATGATAGAAAATCTAAGGCCTTCAAAAGCCGTACAGCAAACCCATCTAATCTGGTGCCTATTACACGCCAAACTAAGATCGCTGTGGGGACAAAAAGTAAGACTGTTAAGTTAGCACTTTTAAACATCCGCTCACTTAAAAATAAATCACTTCTAGTCAACGACTTAATAACCACATATAACCTGGACTTTATGTTTCTAAATGAAACTCGGCTAGAAGACAGCAGCAGTGCAACAGTCCTCAATGAATCATCCCCTCCTAACTTTACTTTTATGAGTGTTTGCAGAGTGGGTAAGAGAGGCGGGGGCTTAGCTGCTCTTTTTAAAGATGTCTATCAATGTAAGCAAATATCATTCGGGAATTACCCGTCTTTCGAATATCTGGGTATTGTGTTAAAAGGTGCTCCACGTATTTTACTTATCATTATTTACAGGCCTCCAAAATACTCTCCAGCCTTTGCTGAGGACTTTACAGAACTGTTATCAACAATTTCCTCTGAGTTTGACTGTTTTGCCATTGCTGGAGATTTTAACATTCACATAGATAATGCAGAAACCAATATGGCAAAAGAAATCAAAACTGTTTTCAAAACTTTTGATCTGACTCAGCATGTACATGGACCCACACATAATCGTGGACACACTCTAGATTTACTTATCAGTAAGGGTCTAAACATCTCATCGATTGCTATTAAGGATGTAGCACTGTCTGATCATTTCTGTATTTTCTTTGATATATTGATCTCTCCTGCCATTGAAGCTAGATCTGTGTCTGTCAAGAAGAGATGCTTAAAGGTGCTCTATGTAACTTTTAGCGGCCTCTAGTGGTGATGTTTCAGATTGCAACCAAATTTTACAAGAGCGCTCGTGCTCGAACTCATAGACAATACCGTCTATTACGCAAATATCTCGGCGAATACTAGACGGATTCGGCGAGCACCGAGCTCGTTGGGACCATCTAGTCGAGCTGAAAAGAACCATACAAGTTCCATAGTTTTTGGTGGAGTTTTCGCGGAGATATTAGCAGAAAACCATCGGGCGCGCTGCAAAATTGCGGACGCCGGTGACGTCACGATCTCAGAAGAAAATCGCTCGTATCTCTGGAACGCAAAGACCCAGAGAGCTCAAATTCGGGGGAGGAGGTCCCAGGGGAACCCTTGCCCGAATGCTAGAGTGGCGGGCCTCGGGGATGCCCCCTACCGGATTGCCGTTCGCTGGGACCCCCGATTTCGAACGGCTATAACTCGGGGAGCGGGGCGAGTTGGACCTCGGGGGTGGGCTCGTTCGAAAGGCCCCGTCCAGCACTACGAACGATTAGAGTCTTGGGAATATTGATCAAAGATTGACTGAGATATAAGCCGAAAAACGTGGTGCCTTTAACCGGACGTAACTCCCTGACCGTCTACAATAGACTGTATATAAGGAGAGAGGCTCGGGAGCGCGCATGCACGTCACATCCGTTGGATTTCGCGGTAAATCCGACCCGGAGACTTCACATAGAAATAGGAATACTGGCCTTCAGAGGTAATAGCAAAACTCGACAAGTGGATCATTTTAATGTGTGATTACAACCCCTTCACACACAGGCAATAAAAAAAGGATTCATTTTAGTAGAAAAGTTACATAGAGCACCTTTAAATGAGAACATTAGTGTGCTATTTATGAAGGCTATATCTTTAAAACCAAGCATATCTGCTGACTCTGTTGATTTTCTCCTTGAATCTTTTAACTCAAAAATTAAAAGTGTAATTGATGAAATTGCTCCTGTGAAAGTCAGGAAAAATAGTGGTAGACAAAAAGCACCTTGGAGAAACTCAACAGCTATGCAAAACATGAAAAGACAATGCAGAAGAGCAGAGCGCATGTGGCGGAAGACAAAACTTGTAGTCCATTATAACATCTACAAAGACAGCATCCATGCTTTTAATATGGAACTAGGCAAAGCTAGACAGACTTTCTTCTCGAATATTATAAACAGCAACTTAAACAACACACGCACTCTTTTTGCTACTGTAGAGAGACTGACAAACCCCCCAAGCCAGATTCCCAGTGAAATGCTCTCAGACAGCAAGTGCAGTGAGTTTGCTTCTTTCTTCTCTGA